CCCAAACCCAACCCCAAACCCAACCCCAACCCCAAACCCAAACCCAAACCCAAACCCAACCCCAACCCCAACCCCAACCCCAAACCCAAACCCAAAACCCAAACCCAAACCCAAACCCAAACCCAAACCCAAACCCAAACCCAAACCCAAACCCAAACCCAAACCCAAACCGCAAAAAGATTTCAATTCATAAGATATTCCTCACTTAAATACTTCCATACAGATTCCCATATCGCACATTACATTACAGCATCTAAATTTTGAAAATACAGACATCTTTTATAATTGGCTAGAAAAATTATAAAACTAAGCTGAAAGTAAATAGATTGAAGAAAGCAATTGAACAGATAATTATGGATACGAAGAACTGCAAAAAAGAAAACTGAGCAATAATATAACTAGTTAAATAATCAAAATTTATATTCTCCATATATATTAATAAATTTAAGATTATGAAAGTCTTATGCTTAAGCTTAGAGAAAATGTATGAATGAGAAAAATAAATAATTAATATCAGATATAATAGTAGTAACAATATATAAGCGATATAATTAATAATTTCTAACAGTATTTTTGGAAATTTATATTTTCGACTGATAACTACTTGTATTTAATAACTTTGAGATAAAAATTCATGTTTAAGTATCTATTTTTCCTATTCTCTTTAAAATTAATCTTTCTTATGGACTTCTTATCTACTTCTATGTAAAATAAAACCCTCTATTTAGATCTGTTTTCTAATTAAGGTTCCATAATTTCGAATCACTTTTTACTTCTTGAGAGGATGAAATATATAAGAAATGATTAATGATTGCCATCAATCTATTCACTGTTTCTGATTATTTTCCCTTTTAATAATTCTATAAAAGTAGTTTATTCTTAGAGTAATCAGATGCAATAACAAAAGCCGAATGAAAAATGTATAGTGGTGAATCAAATTCATAGAAGTAATTAGATTTATCATCATAATCTTTTCTTTAGATTTTAATAGATTTAAGATACCATTTTTAAGATCAAACAATAAATATTTTTTTGGATAATCAATATTTTAGAATGAAAAAAATGAATATTTCGTAGACCATAAACCAATTAATTATTATCCAAAAAAAGAATAAAAATTGTTTCATTATTTTTGAAAGATAAAAAAAATTTCATGTCTTCTAAGTATCTTGTTTTACCTTAAGATTGAGTAATACATGAATAATTTTTACTGCAATAAAAATAAATTTTTTTTTTCTTTAGGCATAAGGAAAAGGATTAGTTGAAGAAAAAGTCTTGAGAATAGGAAAGATTATTCAAAGTATTAATTAATTATAACCCAAAAACTCCTTTTCTTAGAGATTAAGAATATCAATAGATATATATGTAAACATTATAATATATAATTGGAGAAAGATATGCAATTACATCTATTGAATAGGAGGCCTATTAGATTATTTATTAATTTTTTTCAAAGATTAAAGTTATTTTACTTCACTATAAGAAATCTCACTTTAAATTGAATAAATTACTAAATTAATAATTGTTAAATTACTATACTTTGATAAGTTATAATTAAATTTTAATATTGTAATAGAAATTTATAATTTAATCATTTATGAGTTATTACACCAATTATCAATTGTACTAAGCTCTTGATTTCATTAACATAAGACTTTAGGAACAAACATGCTAAAATGTAATGATTAAATAATGCTATAAAGTAGAGATTTAAATATATTATCCAAATACTGGATCTGCAAAGATCTTTCAGATTAATTAAAAGAATTTAAGAAATTGAAAATACAAAAGAGCTACTAAATTATTTTTTTGATATATCGAAAAAAATCTAATTAACAATTCTATTATAAAATTTCAATAAACATATCTTAATAGAATCCCTAAATATCTATGATAGTGGTTAGATTAGATTATTAAATTTGGAAGTATATCCTTGGTTAATCTTTATCAAAAGGACACAAATCAATAATCACAGCAATCATAATAATTTGGATAGATATGATTATTATTTAGTATTGGCAATTAAATATTTGTTTTTATAATTTTGGTTATTATTAAAATAAAACAAATATAACTTATACTAATTTAATAAATTAAATCTTAAATTGATTGATGAATTAATAATAAATAATAAATTGAATAATTTTTTAGTAAAGTATTATCTTAACTATTGTTTAAGACTGATTATAATTTGAAGGAGAAAAATAGAAAAGAATATTAAATAAAATGAATATCATATAAATATTAGAATTCAAATAATTGCATAATTATTAAAGAGTTCATCTAACTTTTGATGGCCAACAAAAAAGTAAACAAGTTAAAACAATGGATTAATAACCTAATTTCTCATTTATTAAGTAATATGTTTAAAAATAATTATTCTTAGGAATATCATAATTGGTTCCAAAATGATATAAAATAAAACGAGTGAACTAATTAAAATGATAGAAATTTAAATATTGATTATTTAAAGGTCTTTTTAACTAAATAGATATAGATTGATATTTACCAATTCTTCAATTAAAGAATAAATTCCAGATAACAAAGGAAATGTATTAGTAAATAGAAAATAGCAATTAAAATACTCCATTTTCCTCCAAATCTGTAAATAGACTAAAATATCTAGAGAATAATTTTAATAAATAGAAAAGTTCCGCTATTGATGAGTAAGATTCCATAGATTGTAATTTCAGCTAAAAAAGATATTTCCAAAAACGAGAATGGTATCAGCAAACTTATTTTGATCGATAGTTCCAAAAATCGATAACTTTTAGTAAGGATGATACTTTCTGTAAAAAAAAAGGATAATATTTCATGAATAAACTATATATTAAAAATAAAACTTACTTTGAATGATTATTTGAAAACAGAAAAATGTCCTGGATAAAAGTGTAAAATTTTAGCTTTTCCTTATTTTTGAGTTTCGTCTCCGCTAAGATCTGAATCTACTCTGTTAAATATTGGTTTTTATTTTGATTTAATTTCTATTGAGACTAATTCATAATAAAAGAATAAAGAAAAAGTAAGGAAGATGCCTTGAAATAGTAAAATTGGTTATTCATTTAATTATAAATTTGAATTATCCACTTTATATTCATTAAAAGAATTTGATGTGAAATTTTATTAGATAATTGAATTGTTGAGGAATTTTATTAAAAAAATGCTTCCTAATTTTTGACATTTACAAGAGACTTAAACAGTTTGATTATCAATTTCTTCAGTTAAGAAATCACATTTATAAAATTATTCGTCTTAATGGATATTAACACAATCATAAGAGTAAAGTTTATCTTATGGAACTTATTCTTAACAGTATGGAGTTTTAAACATATCGATCATGTATTATTTAATTGTATCTTGATATTCTATATAACGATCCTTATAAAGATGATTCTATAGATTGGTTTTCTTGTAATTATATTGATCAATTTCAAGGGTAGTTAAATTAAAGAATGTTTGCAATTTTGTTTATAATTCTTGAGATAGATTTAAATAGTTGTAATTTAATTCTATTTATTCCTTTTATACAAAATCAATCAAACCATCTAATAAATCTCTATCAATATCGAATTAGTTATTTAAAATATCTTTAGTAATTTTTGATAATTACCATTTCAGAATTTATCCATTAACAATTAATTGAAGACCATTTACTTTTGCTTTTGCATTCACATGCATTGCAATCTTTTCAATAAGATTTATTAATCCCTCTGCTATATTAATAATCTATTCTTTATCTTATTAAGAACTAACAATAGCTGTAGGAATTTTGAGGAAAATGTCATCAATCAAAAGTTACATAACTAATAAAGAGTCCAATATAGCATCTTTTTTCTAATAAAGTTTTTCATCCAAGAACACTACATCTTAATTTATCTAATCATCAAAATTAGTTGACTTTATTATCATTTTCTGAACAATAGCTATAATTTATTTTAATTCTGCTTGTAAACTAGTTGGAGTGACAGTTGACTAAGTATCAGCATGTGGGATTGCGAAATAAAAAGTTTTTGTAGAATTCTTAAAACAACTTTCTGAATTATCATTCAATAATCTAATAGAAGTATTGGAACTATTATTATCTTGAATTAATCTTTTATATAATTTAGTTGTTTGATAAACTAATAATTGATCATCAATATTATCAGAATCCAAAAAGGTTTTGATTTTTGAAAATAACTCTTAAGACAAATTAATACAATATTTTTAATCTTAATGATTCAATAAAATTTCTAATAGTAAAGAAATTTGTTATTTAAAATTATATTAATTTATTATTATGTTGGAACAATTCAGAACAATCTTTGTTACATTTAACTATTTCTCAATATTTAAGTATGATCCTTTGGAATCCATTGCTTATATTAAAAGAATGCCATCAGCTTATGGAAAATACCCTTCCAAAATATTTGAACTTTAATAACTACTCAAAATTAATGAATAATCAGATTTACTATTCAAAAAATCAATTAAATCTTAATTTTTAAGAAAATATCTCAATTAATATGTAAATGGAGCTGCATCAGAAAAATCACAAATTGTAATAATCTTTAAAGGTCTCAATGCTTCAACTGTTTATTCACTCAAACTCACTAAACAAGTAGGAGGTTAATTAACAATTAACTATAGATCCTCTTAACTAGGTATAATTTCATTTGTAAACTAAGCCAAAAATTTCAAATTTATTTATTTTCCTTTTGTAAATTCCTAAAAATAATCAAATATTCGTAATTAGTATTAAAAGTATTCCGATTGTAATATCTTAATGAGTTCAAAATTATAAATAATAGCTACTTGATATTCTAACAGATACTATCGATCTTAAAAAGGAATATTAATAGTGAATTCCAAATTTTCATAGTTATTGACTGGTCTCATTAAATACCCTTTACTATAAGTAACATTTAATAGTTTAAAATCATTATCTAGATAGACAATATTTTATTTAAATTTATAAGTAAATTAATTTTTTGAAGCCACTACTGTCCAACTTTAAATAGTATAAGGCTGTATTGTTTATTTGGGAATTACTTGGATACTATCTGTTTTATTTACTTTGATTATTTTTTTATTTAAATCCATACAAAATGAATTCATCGTCAAGTCAACACACTCAACATTAATTTATATACCTGAATCTTCATTCCAGTCATATTAAGTATCTAAATCTCTACATGATATGTATATATAAGTTTCTTTTCTATAATTCTAAATCTTTTTTGTCCCATTAAATTAACAAAATATACCTCCTGAGCTAATTTCAAGTGTAATATTTCTTGTAATTGAAAAGTTAAGCAAAGGATCAATCGTTGTTTATTAGAAGGTATAAGCAATTCTGGAAGTCAATGTATAATTTTAGATTGTAACATTAAAGAAACTTTGACGTGTGATTTCTTAATATTTTACTCTTGAAGGCCTTGAATTAGAATTGTTTCTATATACTTCAACTAAAGATAATTAATATTCAGAATTATCAATTTAAGTAATTACAGATTCAGAACAATCTTTTTTTTTAATTTAGAATTGCAAAACAATAGTTTCAAAAGCATAATAATAAGGTTTCGAAATCCAAAGTATAGTGGGAAATTGACCTGAATGAGTTTACAATTTAATCATTTATATTGTCTTTGAACCTACAAAATTTTGAAACTCTATATAAAGGGTAATATTGGACTGTTTTGGTAGAGTTTGGAATGGAATAACTAATTCTAACATTTATAAACTAGTTAATGAAGCAACAAAATTATCAAGATCTCCATTTCCATTAAATCCATCTACAGAGTATGTCCATTTTATTCCAATAAATCCTCTAAGTCCATCATTAAGTTTTGATTTCATAGATATAATATTGTCATCGCAAGGATTGAGAAGATATGTAGGTAAATCATAAATAATTTTAGGAGATACAGGATTTATGGGATTTTTGATTTCATTGTAGATAAAAATATCTAATTGTTTTTCGCATTCTTGATGGCCAAAATAGTTATCATAAAAAATGATTTTATCCCCTGGAATAATCTTAACTTGTTATCCTACTCTCATAATTAATTTTGTATCATCATCTGGATCCACATAACAAATAGGATTCTTGCCAAGTAATTAGTATGTTTGATAATCTAGTATTTTTAAGCAGATATTATCTTAAAATTATGTAGTAAAGAATGATGGATTCAATGGAAAGTCAAACTTTACAGAAATAGATAGTAAGTCATCTGAGAACCTAACATCTACTACAGCAACTTCACAAGCTTTGTTATTAATAGAAATATTAATACTTGAACACCATGCAGTGTCAGGATGGCTCACAGAATTTTATGGTTGATCACAAGACATTTCAGGAGATAGAATCCTATTGCCATTACAACTGAGACAACCATCTAGATTACATGTTTTACATAATCCATCACAAACTTAACAAGATTCATTTAATAGATCATCATAAAATCCATCAGGACATTCACATTTAGGAATATTAATTCGATCTCCTTTACAACTTAAACAATTTAATGAGGAATCCTTGCATGTTTTACATTAAAAGTCACATTCTTAAATTTATTATTAATTAATATACAAACACATAGAGGCTATCCACCTTCATAATACCCATCTTAACATACACAAAGTTGAGTGGATCTTCCTTCTTTACATGATAAACAATTTGAAGATGTCTTTTCACAAGTTAAACATTAATTTTCACACGCTAAAATAAAATTGATTTGATTACCTTCACAATTCTAAAAAGAATTTTCAAAAAATCCAAGTTTGCAATTACAAATAGGAGGTGTATCTCTCAGATTGCTAAAACAAGTTAAACAATTAGTTGAAGAATTTTAACAAAATTTACAACGTATACTACATTTTTAACAATCCACTTAAATGCCATCATCAAAATAACCGTCTTTGCAAATACAATTCTGAGATATGCTTTGTCGATTAGAAGTTTTGGAATAAGAACAAGTTATACAATTCTCTTTAGATTAATTACATGTTTAACATTTTGGATGGCATTCTTATTATGCTTTAAAATTAATACTTTAACAATTTTCATTTTCATCTGAATAGAAACCATTTGAACAAGGACATTTATTAATAACAGATTAATCAATTCTATTTTAATTAAGATCACAACTTTTACAATAATCTCTTCTCCCTTCACATGTAAGACATTAATTAGAACATTCTATAAAATTAATTATAACTGTGTACTTTCACAAATTAATGAATTATTATTATAATATCCATTTTAGCAAATACATTGATTTTGATTTAATACTCTAAAATGTTGTGTCTAGTTACATGAAGTACATTTTGTTTAAGTTATTTAACAAGTCTTACAATATAAATTGCATTATTAACACATCTCAATCCCAATATCATAATAACCATCTAAACAAATACATTAATTAGAATTATTTAAAATTCTAAAATAAGTTGATTCACATGATAAGCATTATGTAGATTAATTGATACATGTCTTACAACTTAAATCACATACTAATGATAATATGAAATTTGTACTTGAACATTTTTTGAGTTGAGCCTCATAATATCCATCTTTGCATGGACACTTCAAATTATCTGGATCAAAATATCTAGTAAGATTTTCACACTCTATACATTGTGTCTATGTTTTACATTCTTTACATGAAATATTACAAGCTAAATTACTATTATTATACCTTCACATTTTAATGTAGATGTATTAAAATAGAAACCTGTTGAACAAACACATCTATTCGAGACATCCAAGCTGAGATTGTACAAAGCATCACACGTTAAACAATAATTAGGAGATACTTTACAAGTTAAACAAGACTAATCACACTTTTTACAACTTAAAGTTATTGATTCTTCATAATATCCATCTTGACATATACAAATATTTCCTGTTTTGAAGATTCGATTTTTATCTGCTGAACATGATGTACAATAGTTTTCTTGATTAATACATGTCTAACAAGTTTTATTGCAAAGTAAACATTATTTATCATTTCCACTCTCATATGTACCATCTATGCAATTACATTTATTGTTATTTAATAATCTCAATAATTTACAAGATGTGCAATAAGTGTCTGCATTTTAACATGTTTAACAAGTAATATCACAAACTTGGCATTAACCATTAATCTCAGCAGTTCCAGCTTTACAAATGCAAGTTTTAGTAACATTATCCAGTATTCTCATTAATGATTAATCACATTCAGTACAATTTTTAGAATTTATTGTGCAATTAAAACAATTTTAATCACATTTCCCACATTTATCCAATTTATTATCAAAATAACCTGTATCACATATACATGTATTTCCTTCTAAATGTCTTGTAGTTATACAGGTTATACAATAATCAGCAGTATTTTAGCAAGTCAAACATTAAATCTAACATTTTTAACAATTAGGAGAGATTCCATCATCATAATAACCAGGTAAGCATTGACAAATTCCTGAATTAAAGACTCTAAAGGAAATTGACTTGTCTTTACAAGATTGACACAATTGAAATCCAAAAGAATTACAAGTAAAACAAGAATAATGGCATTGTGAACAAGTTTCAACACCAGAATCATAATAAGAATCTAAACAATTACAAGTAAACATCAATGTATTTAATTATCTATTTGATGTAGATGAACATGCCTCACATTTAGTAGAAATAGAGCTACATTGAGAACAAGAATAATGGCATTCTTTTGATAATTTTTAAAATAAATTACTTTAGCATATAGAATTTGATCCATCGTCAAAGTATCCCTATTAACATGGGCATTGTTAATTAATCAATTTTCTAAATGTGTTAGGATAACAAGTTAAACAATTAGTATCTAATCCTGTACAATTTTCACAACTATAATTGCATTCTAATGTTTATTATTATATTAGTACATTAACATTTTGGTTTGCCAATATCAAAATAATGAGGTGCACAAACACAACTTGAATTTTAGAAAATTCTCATTTCACTATCCAAACATGATGTACATTTAGTTAATGTAGATCCATTGCAGTTTAAACAAGAATAATGACAACCTAAGTTAAATTAATTTTATAAAACTTTGACATTCAGTTTTGCCCTAAACTTAATAAGTACTGATAATAGCTCCATTTAACTTTGTTTAGCAATTACACACATTTCCTACTAAGAATCTATCTGGTTTACAAGAAATACAATTATTAGCTGAATTTACACAATTCAAACAATAGATACTACATGCTAAAGAATAAATTTAATGTATACCTTGACATTCAGGCTATCCAGCATCAAAGTATTTACTCTGACATAAACATGATCCTGAAGAATCCAATTATCTCAAAATTTAAGGATTACAAGAAGTACATTAATTTGATTACGATCCATTACATGTTAAGCAACTATTGTGACAAACTAATATGAATCTCCATTAATACTAATGCAAATTGGATTTTCAGGTTAGTCATATGACTTGGCAGGACAAGAACAAAAATTATTTGTTCCTAGATCTCTATAAGAGAAGGCTGGACAAGATGTACAATTGTCTATTGTAATACTGCAATTAGCACATCGATAAGAGCATTCTAGTATTTTATAATTATTTACTATAACACATAGGATCACCAACTAGTTTTTCCATATATGTATCTAGACATACACATTTATTAGCCCTAACTTCTCTGTTGTTACTAGCCAGACATGTAATGCAATTATCTTCTTCGGGACCAAAGCAAGTATGGCAAGTATAATAGCACTCTTTAAATAATTTTATTTGTTACTGGAACATTATAATTAACCAATATCATAGTATCCATATGGACAAATGCATTTGAACATTACTAATTAGCGATAAGAAAGGTCACATGTTAAACAGTTATTTTCATAAATGCCATTACAAGTTTTACAAGTGAAATGACATTCCAAACATTCTAATTGGGTGTCATCACTGAAATAATGAGAATCTTTGCACAAGCATTTAAATGTGATTCCAATAGTATCTGGTTATCTTGTAGCTGGACAACTGGTGCATTTATCTTCACCAGGCACATCACAATCAGTACATGTATGGTGACAAATGACTATAAAAATGATGATATTAATTAAGATACATAGACAATTGATATTGTTGGTTCCATCATCAATGTATGCTTTATTGCATAAACACTGCTTATCTGAAGTCAAATGGCGATTAGATGAGGATGAACAGGATGTGCAATTAGTTTGTAAAGGACCATTACAATTTTCACATGTATAATGACATTCTAAAATTATTCTTATTAAAAATTATTTACAAACACAAATTTCTGAGATGCCATCATCACCATAACCTTCTTTACAAATACAATTAAGTTGATCAGAAACAACTCTATTCTATCCTGCTATGCACATAGTACAATATTCATTAACCGTATTATCAAATGGCTGATAACATTTTTCACATCTTGGATGACAAGCTTAATTAAATAAAGGAGAATTAATACGTAAACATAAAGTAGTACCATCATTCTGGATATATTCAATAGTTCGTATTATGCATAAACATTATCCAGCTATCAATTATTTATTGTATATATTAGGGTCTCCACAATCTGTACAGTCATCTATATTTGGTCCATTACATTAATAACATGATGGATAGCATACTATTTTTAAATAACTGATAATTACCTTAACAAATTTTATCAATAACTCCAGTATTATAACATCCTTTAGAACACACTAATTATTTTTTTTTTTTACTATACCTTAACATTCTGATCCACTTGGTCCTGTACATTAAGCACAATTATCAGTACAAGAACCATAAAAAATTGTAAAGTCTCTTAAACCAAAAGACTCTCCATCTGTTGGCTCATCTAGCGTAGTTGAAAATGAAGTTTCAACTTGGCTACCTGTATGATCTAAATCTAATTCAATTCTAATAAATATTGTTCTATGGTTCGCATCTGAATCCCCACATATCTTACCAAAATAACCCTCATACCATTAAAATCTTCTTTCCCAAACTAATATACTATCTACTCTCATCTAGGCTGCCTCATTATCCCAAGAATCAATTTTAGCCCATAAAATTTATATCTTCAATTTATAATGTGGTGGAATATTAAAAAAAGACTTCCTGATTTTTGTTTAAGTTCCTGTCTTTTAGTATCCACCAAACAAAGCAACAGCTAATTGATATTAATTAAATTACATCCACATTAAGTTGACTCAGCAATTCCAGATACAACATTCCAACCGTCCGTTACTATTCCATTTACATCTAATGAGTTCCAACTAGTCTAGATTATTTTCCAAACATAACATTCTATTATTGTATCAGTCTGTTAGCATACTAAACAACCATCTGGACATTTTTCAACTGATAAAATGAAATCTCTAAATCCCCAAGATTCCTAATTAAATTTTCTGGTTGTTTTACATTGTCAGGGTCTTCATCTAAGTTTGTTGTGAATACTATCACGGCTGTAGGACCACTATGCTTTATATTTAAGTTCAAATTCACAGATACTTCTTTCCATTCGTCTCCACCTCCACATTTTGAAGTTCCATCATAGTAATTGTATTTTTTCTACCATGCCATCTGATAATCTACAAATATATATCCATATTCCCAGTCCCATGAATCAATTCTATATTATTGATTCATTTTACTTCCAAAATTACACTTGCAAATTTATCAAATAATGGGGTGGAAGTTCAAATGTCTTACTAACGCTAACCCTTCGACCAAAAACATTATAACCTCCTAATAATCTTTGGCCCATACAATCTGTGAACAATGGTTAAGCTCCACTTACCACCCAATCTAAATTAATTTCAACATTATAATTACTATCAGCATCAGAGAAACTATTTCCTTAAAATGAAGAAGAGATCACTTATAAAACACCACAAACTTCTATTATACTACTCAGAAAAAGAGCTATTCTAAAGATAGGCTTAATCATTAATATTAATATTGTGAAATTGATTATCAAGGACATTTTTAAATGCTTAACTTTCTACTATAATATTCAAATAATTTAATTTCTCAACAAACGAAAAAATTCATAAAACATAAATTGTTAAATCATTCACCTTCAAAAAAAAAGATACATAAACGAATAAAGAACCAAAAATTATTGCATTCACATCTAATATGTATATATTTGTTTTTTAAATTAATTAGTTCCATAATTTTAATATTTACAATTCATAATTTCATTACATATTGATTATCCATTAAATCCTAGAAATTTTATCTATCCTCTAATAGAATTATAAGTTATGGTTGAAATTTTTAAAAAGAACTTTCTAAATCATTTGTTCGAGACTTATATTCTAGATTATGATTTATCAAATGAACATATGAATAAGTTTTTTTTGAATTAATGTTAAAAGTTAAATTATTATTATATTTATATTTTTAAGCGCTTTAGTAAACTTTGAAAAAGAGCACTTAAAAAATGAAGTTTTATTGATTACTAATTAACTTGTGAACACTAAAAATATTATTTTATAAACTTCTCCATTAATTAAAATAATAAATTAATTATTCTCAAAAAATAAAAGGACTAACGATAATTTATAAATAATTATTACATCTAAGCAAAATTAATAGTAATCATATCATTGCTCATTACAGCAATGTTAATTATTAAATTTCATCAAAATTTTTTTGCTTATCGATCAAAAATGAAATGGAGATTTATTTGCAATATTAATCAACATTTTTCAGAAATGCGTATATTTACGTATTAAAAATATTGTATAAATTATTTGTTTAAAGTTTCTCGGAATATTTATAGTTCCAGCCATATTTTATGAACAATAATCAAAACAATTTGATTGAGATTGAAAATAAAGAATAATTTTAAAATAATTTGACAATTAAATATTATCATTTGTTTTAATACTAAAGTAAAATATATTTATATATATATAATTTTTTTAATTAATCAAATTTTTAACTCTATTAATCTCAAACACTAATAAAGATAAAAAGTTCGAGTTTCTTAAAAACTTAAATAAATGAAATTTTTTCTATTCAGTACTATCATTATATCATTAGGAATTAGATTTCTAAGAACTATTTATATAAAATTAGTACACAACCCTATCGTACAAAATAACATGAGGTGGTTAATAAAATGAAAAATTGAATAAATAGAACATATTTATTTAAGAGTATGATACAAAAAAAATAAAAGAAATACATTACTTAAATAAATTTTGCTAAAATTTCATAGAATTTGTTAAAATACCTTTGTATTATTCATTTTGATCTTTTTTAATTAGCACATAGTTTGACCTAATAAAAATGAGACCATTTACTCTTAATTTAAGCATCATTAATTAAGAATCTTTATCTATTATTATATTTGCAAGATACAATTAAATATAATTTACATATCGAATATTCCTCAAAACTAACTAAAGAATAAAAATAATGGTATATGGGCTTGTTATAAATAGCAATCAAAAAGAATGAAGAATTATTATTTAATAGAAGTGGAGTAATATTGTTGAATTAAATAATAATTTTCACATAAAAATAATCAAACTTAAAAATATGTATCCTTATATGATAAAGGCATAAAATTCTTCGATTAGAATTTCAGAACTCAAATCTAGTATTTATTTTTGCCCTTTGACACATAATCCATTAGAAATTTCAAAATAACATTCATTTAATCTACTGTTACATTCAATAGCATCTATGATTTTTTCACATTACTTTAAGCAAAGATTAATTTCTGTATTGTTTTCAGATTAAGTACTCCAATAACAACGATCTGAAGCTTAGGAACATGTTTCTTTAGTTAAGAAATTGGAACACAAAATAGAATTACATTTGCCATTCTCATAGATACAAATATTTTTTTATTAATTGCAAAAGCAGGGTTCCGTAATATATTCACATTATTTACACACTAATTGATTTAATAGCACACATGAAAAACCATTAAATTCATTTCCTTAACATAGTGTAGTTGATGATCCATAGATTCTACAATAAAATATAATAAATTACTCGCAATATTGATTGGTGCATATCTCAGTATCATCTAATAAAGTATATCTTTACCAACTACATATAAGACCTCCAACTGAAGAGGTGTTACAAATATTATTCACTTATTCACCATAAATTTCTTAAGTAATTTGGCTACATCTAAGTAATTATTAACAATTGTTTTCTTAATCTAAATAACAACCTTAAACTAATTAACATTCTTTTGGAGTATAATCATTACATGTCTTCATTTTACATGCTCCATATTAAATTATACAATTAGAATTGGAACAATCTGAATATGGACAATAAATGCTATAATTATTAGATGTAATACAGGAATTACCCGCCTAAATACATGGCTAGGAATTAATATAGATGGTTGAACAAGATTGTTATGGATCAATGATGTCTTCACATTTAGTAGCTGGTTAACAAACATTCTTTTAATTTAAATAACAAGTCTTATTATCCATAATTGCTGAACATTCAGATTCCTTTAAATGATAACATTATCTCTTAATACACTTATAAATATCAAGGTCGAAATAACATTTACTATTAGATCTGCATTAAGAAATATTAGAGATTTAGCATATATCAATTTTCTAATCTGATTTGCACTTACAATCTAAATCATCTTGATTCCACATACAAAGAGCATTAATTTCACAAGTATCCTTATTGATTCCTGAAATATTACAATAATTTTCATTTATTAATGGAGTTTAGCATTTGAAATTGATTGGATCATAAGAGCATTGTTAATTAATGACTGATGCACAGGCTTTAGAATTGACAAGATTAATAAACATACATATTGATGATGATTCTTTAAATACCTAACATTTATTATCTATAAAAATACATGGTTCTTGTTAGACTTACACACAACCCAATAAATTTAATCCTTCAGTCTTACATTACAATTACCATCTATTGAAGTGACTCTTACATTGATTAGCAATTGAATCATAAAAACAAGCTTTATTTTTTACGTATTTACGACAAGCAAATTCATTAACAATCAATGTAGTATCACAATCAATATAATCAACCAATTCTTAACAACCATGATTATTATTCCAAAATGTTGGAATATTCTTATTAGAAATACAACCAAATTTAGAGATTCCTAATCCAAAAATTTCATTTGATGCATCAACACAAATATGTTTTTAAAAATCATAACTACAAGTTAAATCAGTTATCATTTAACAAACAAAATAATTTACATTTTGATAATCTTAACACTTTTTTTAATTTGTTAAAACAAAATTGATACAAGAATTAATCCATTAACATTATTGATTTGGTATAGATAAACATGTTATTTTACTAATTCCATCTGATGTGCATAATATAGATTCAATTGGTTTCTAAATACAAGAATTCTATTCATAAACACTATTTACACTATTTTTAATACAAACATTTCTATTAACATTTTCCATAATACCTAGAGTGGAATCCCATTATAAACATTTTTAATCTTTCCAGATACAATATTAATTATTATTTTATACATTTAAACATCCCCATATGTTAAGAGAATCTGAACAAGTTATAATTTTAAAATCTGTTACTTCTTAACATGAATAATTCCAAATGCATGATTTATTTTGAATTCTTGATTTTATACAATAATATATATTTTACAATTATTCACATGTACCATGTAATATAGATGATTAATGACCAGGTTTTTAGAGTCTGACAATATCTTCAATTGATGACCAATCAAATACTGATCTCATTTTATCTTGACTTGCAAAACATTACATCAATTTAGAATCATAAATACAGGGTTCTATTGAATTACTTTTACAAGCATAATTATTAATATTCTTTGGTAATTCATAACAATAAACTTTAACAAAAAAGGGATCAAAATCTATACATTAATTTTCTAACCATTGACAATTTTATGAATCACTTTCAAGACATTTTATTTTTGTATTGAATTTAAGGCAGTTTTAATTTGAATTGTAGATGCATCTATTTGAATCCCATACACAGATATCTGTAGATAACATACAAGCCTAATAATTATAATCACTAGAACAAGTAGTTGGAATATATTAGACTTGATTACATGACATTTATAAATGATTATACTAACATGCTTCTTCAGTTACACTTTTACAAGCCATAAATGTATGTTCATTGTCAGCAGATTCACAAGTTGTAAAAATTTAATCAATGCATTTTTAATTTGATACATCCCATTTACAAATTTAACCTGATGTTTTAATGTTTATACAAGCTGATTAATTTAATAAATCCTAACATAACGCTATATATAGATTAGCATCATCACAATATCCTCCATCATTTAGTTACACCCAAGTACAAGGTATTGTTGTTTATTACATACATGCTTATAAGTTTAATCCATAGAGATTACAATTGTTCAATTTCTCATTTATTTCTGTACATTTAGTTTTGTCATAATGTCTAACACAACTTTTAGTTGTTTAACTTGAGCAGACACTAATAGAAATTAAGGGATCTAAATTGTTAAGATTACTACATTCAGTATTTGTTAGAGTAATCTAATCACAACTTTTATTTGTAGTATTCCAAATACATTAGATATTTGATAGACTAACATTTTGACAAGCTCTTTGATTTAAATCTTGACATGAAATTAGTTTTTTATTTTCATTTTCAAGTAAATTGAAACAATTATGATCTTTCCATTAACAACTAATTTCCTTTGTAAGATCACTTAAACAAGCCTGTTTTGATAAATTGGTACAACTTGATTGCATTTCATTTGTCAATTTAGAACAGGTAAAATATGAGAATTTCCAAGTTCCTGATTAATTAATACATCCAAATTTATTTAATTATTCAGATACTCCTGTAGTTAAACATTTAGATCCATTAAAGTAACAAGTATTTTTAATTTATGAACATTATTTTGATGTAGTACCTTTGCAAGATGTTACTGATAAATATTCAGAAATAAGTTTGCATTTATTATCTATAAATGAATACATGCATTGTTCTTAATTTAATTATGCACAAGCTGCGTAACTTGATTACATATTTTATAGATCTTCACATTAGGTAATTTATGTAGTATTGATATTTTTACATGATTAATCCCAATAACACAAAAGGGAAGAATTTAGATGAGTTAAATCTTAAAGACATAAATTTTGATTTAATTATTCACATGTTAAAGTGTCAAAATCTGTATCAGAATAACAAAATCCAAAACCACTTTTAGTATATCCATATATGCAATTTGGAAATTATGCACATGCATTAAATGAATGATATCCATTCAGTGATGGACAAGTTGTACCTTCAAAATCTATACATTCATTATATTCCCAAGAACATGAATATTATTTATTTTTGATAATACAATCAAGTTAAGATAAATAATAACAATACCAATAATCTTAAGTTTAATCAATTTATTAACATTTCTAATCTGCATAAACACAATTTGGATATTAATAACAAAATTCAAAGTTTGTTTTTTCAAAGAAATCACAAGTAAAATTAGTATATGGAAAATGAAAACATTTTCCATCTTTTAATACACATTTCAAATTAATAGAATTATTAAAATTACATGTTTGAATTGAATCTTCACATAATGTAGATTTATAAAATTAACATTAATTCTAAATAAATTAACAATATTAATCTGGTATTGATCCACAAGCAAATTAATTTAATTTACTATCACAATTATATAATTCATAATTTAATTGATCTTCTTCGTAAATACAAGTAGAACCATCTGATACTAAAAAATAATTATATTCATCCAATATACATGTAAAATCACCACCATATTCCATAAAATAATCAAAAGTTACATCACACATTTAACCATTCCAATAACATTTTAAATATTAATAATTAGAACACGCAAATTAATTTAGATACTTACAATCTGAAATGGTTTTATGTTATGGTAAATATTGGCATTTAAAATTGTAAAATGCACATCTATGATTTTAAGTATTTAGAATACATCCAAAATATGATAATCCTAAAGTATTACATTCTAAGTCATCATTGATAGGCATTTAACATCCTATTGATTAATCATATAAACAACTATCATTTGCTCTTGAACAATGATTTGGATTTATTTAATTTTTTAGAAAATTAGTATTAATAGTATCACATGGTTAATTTTTATCATTAATCTATATACATTTCTTATCGATAATGAAATGATTGTTTGAAACATAATCTATAATTTTACAATATTATCCATTAGTTTATACTTTTGTACAAGCTTTTAAGTTAGCCTATAAACATTATATCTAATTTAAAATTAAAAAAGCATCCATAGAATCATCAATTAATGGAGTACATAGATAATTAATGAATGCACACATTTAAATATATTCTCCAGATTCATTTAATCCAGTTAACCCACTACATCTATGTATATTCATATTTTCAGTAATTCCACAATCACTTATATAAGTAGATTTAGCTTAACATTTATTATCAACAAAACTACAATAATTATCATTTATTAATTATTTAGATACATCAGATTCAAGAACTTAGCAAAATTTACTTGTAAAATTTTCTTCATCTTAACAATTAGAGAAATTCCTTGAATAATTTTTACATTTATTCTCATTATAATCCCAATAACAAATTTAACCACTTTTAATTATAGATAAACAAGTCTTTTAATTTACATAATTTTATTAGCATTCTAAATTTGATAACAAAATATTATCATCTTCACTAAATTATATACATTCATTTAAATTTAAATCAAAATAAGTTAATGAATCTTATACTAATTGACAACCATATCGATTTATTTCAGTTTAATATGTTATTTTAGCATAAATACTAGGAGTGTAACATGAATTAATAGATTAATCATATAAGCAAACTGTTTATTATAAGTTATGTAAATTACACACTCGTTAATTCACATTTTATAGAGATGAACAACGAATAGAATTAATCTCATCAACAGATATTGTTTAGCATATTCCAGCAGAAAATTTACAATAAACTCCATATCCTTTTAAATTTACACAAACTTCTTTTGTAAAACCATATCCATCACATCGAAATGATTAAATGGATGTCAATTTTTATTCATAACAAGAATTAGTGTATGAATCAAAAATACAAAGATAATCAGAACTTGAAACTTTAGATTTCTGACATATTTTCTCATTAACAAGTACTTAAGTATTACAATCAAATTCTTTTAAATCTATTTCTTAAAGACTTATACATTTTTAAGTTAAAGAATCCCACTTATTAATTCCTGGTTAAAGTTTAAGACATGAATAAAGATTTATATGGTTTTAATCACTTGTTTCAGGGGTATAATGAAAAAAATAACATAAACCTTTATTTGGAAAATATTCAGTAGGAATTGTTTATTAATATTTACATAAGTTTTCATTGCTAATTTTTTAAAATAATATATTCCAATAGTCAGTATCATCTTTGTCTATAACTGATTTTTAATATATAAGAATTGGTTATTCTAAAACATTTAAACATTCAAGTGAATTGGTATTCCAATAACAAATCTAATCACTTAAAGTAATAAGAGTACAAGATTAAGCGTTAAAAGCTTAATTACATTTCATCAATTTAAATTCTTCGTCCTTTATTCTATAACATCTTTATTACTATTCATTCCATCCACATTAATCTTTTAACAACTTACAATACATCTTCTCAATACCTAATTGATCACATCCATTTTGAGGAGAACAAGTTTTCTACATTTATATCGCACTTGTCCCTAAAAACTTACATCCTTTTATTGCTTCACAAGAACTTTAAGTATTTAACATGAATAAGGAACACTTATTATTACATAAGAGTGTTTCCGTATCCAAGTAATGAAATATTTATTATGAACATTATTTAACTGTGCAATAAGCATTTTCACAAACAGGCACATAATCATCTTCTTAATTCACACAAGAATATTCATATTCAACTCCCTTTAATCTACATGTATGGATAATTGAATCAAAATAAATACATTACTAAAAGTCAAGTGATTTACAATTTAATTTGTATTCAACTGTTTTTTAAACATTATTTAAATCAGAATAACTAAATTTCTTACATATCCCATCAGAATAAACATAATTTTCTGCTATATTTGGATTTCTATTCAAATATTTACAATATAAATGATTAATACCTCTTACCTCATCTGTTAATGCAATAAGTTTAGAATAATCACTATCATTTTCAATCTCTATAGCTATACATCCATATCTATAACGGTAAGACTTCTATACTATATTTATTAGAACTCAAATTTTACAATTTGTTAAAGTGATTTCCTTTGATTCTCTTATTGTATACCAAGAAAATGATCCATTAGATAATTGATAGTTATTTTTCAATGAAACTGTATTTGGATCATCAAATATAATATCATTTGATACATCTAAACCCATCTCCTTTTTGAATGAATTGTTTGCTTCTGTGAATAAATCTGGAAAATAGGATATCATATTCCATAAAAGATTACTATGAATAATTAAATAGTTCTCTATTAATGAACAAGCTGAAACACTATATTCAACTTAATCAAAGTCTTATTGAACTTAATTCCATTGATTTTAATACAATACATGACAACTATTGTCTTTCCAAAAACAAACTTGTTCTGGATTCATAATTGATATACATCCAGATTTTGAGAGATGGTTTTCACATTTCTCTATTTCTAAATCGGGAATTTCTTCACAAACATATAAAAAGCGACCTTATTTAGATTTATTGTAGTACATTTAGCTGGTTAACCTAAGACATTCCCGATTTGTCTTACGCAAGCCTTCTTATTCAAAGTTATACTACATCCTTATTAAAAATCAAAAGTGTTTTCACAAAGTTTTCTAGTTTCATCCCATTTGCACTTATCATTATCACTCTAAATGCAAATTTCAAACTGTTCATACTCTCTACATAAATCAATTCCTTTAGTCTAAAGGAAAAGTAGTAAAAGTATCAATTATAATTTAAAAGAGATCATTAATGAGATTTTGAATCTTAATATATATAATCAATAAATTTGTCATAAATAACTATTAATTAGTACCTAGTGAAAACCTAGATACATGTTTTAATATCCAATTTTAGAAATATAATACAAAATATATTAATAGTATATAATTTAAAAATGAATAATATTTGACTTATTCCGATAATCTTTTACTCTAGGTTATTTATTTAAGCTATTGGATGGGATGAATTATTTCTCAATTTTATGAGTTGAAAATTACTAAAGTCCAATTTTATTAATATTTTTAAATTGAGATGATACAATAATTGTTAGCACTTCTGGAAATAGTATTAATATAATCTCAAAGATTTTTTGAGTTATATAAGAGTTAAATATGTATTTACATAATCCAAATAAAAATAAAACTTAATATATATTTTTAAAGATAATTAATAGAAAATTAAATAGAATTTATTACAGAAATAGATTAGAATAATGTTGAAGTCAACTTGTGATATATAATAATTAATATTCAAAATTAAATCATATTACTAAATGAAATCAGAAGGATACATAAGTAAAAGTTCTAAATATATTATTATAAGTTTATGATGATTCTGTGCATTTCTTTATTTGAATGCATTTTGTGTAAAGATCCCAAGTAATTAAGTATTCTCCATCTTCACATATTGTTCCAAAAATCTCTCCATAACTTAACACGCCATAATCTATTACATTTTCTAATTTACAATCCTAAAATGTGTTTTATTAAGTAAATGAAAATTTAATAAAGTTCACATATTGCCCATTTTTAGCAATAAGCATTTGTTTTTAGGGTATATACATTTATGGAAAATAATAATAACAAGACATTTCATCTCCTTGAATTTATAAATCTTTTATTTTCATATAATTTCCATTATTTGATTGAATAGAGAAGATTTGTATTTCATTTTTATTCGTTGGGTGTGGTTGAAAAGTAAAGATATTATCAGTAATAAAACATAATCTATATCCATAATTTTAGGTATAAATCTTTTATTTTATTAACCAATTTTATTTATTTAAATTCTACATTACCAAGATTAACAAATCTTTACCACATGAAATTAGTTAGTCACCTTTAAAATTAATAGACAACCCAAAAATACTTTTAGTATGCTCGCTAACAGTTTGTTAGCATATCCATTTGGTTGCTTTTTAAGGATACCAAAATTTGATGTTTTTGTCATCAGATCCACTAATAAAAAGTGAGTCAAAAGTGTCGCTAATTATACAATTAATACAAGAAGTATGTCCATGTAATATACGCTATGGCTCCCAAACAGTCTGTGATTAATTTGTTCTATTTTTATACCAAATAATTATATTTGAATCTTGTGAACCAGAAATGAAATTATTGCTTAAAGATGATGATTTAAAGAAAGTAAGCGTAGTGATATATTTAGCATACTTTTCTTCATGAACTTACATTAACCTTATCGATCCTTGATTCATTTAGAAGATTCGTAAATTTTGATTTGAAGAGGTAACAATGATGTCTTTTTCTTTGTTTATAGCTATAGCATAACAATATGGATGTTGAATAGAAAGTACATTCTAATCAATTTTTTAATTTTATTAAATATCCTATGAAAAATTATATTAAATATCTTAAGATAGAAATATATTTGGGGTTGATTAAATGTGTTTGATGTTTTAAAAAATCTCTACAATTGCCATACTTTGTTCAAATTACTAGAATTTACTTAATTTTTCATCCAATTTGCTAATCTGGGTATTGTTAAATGCCTTAATTTAATTTATTAACTATTGAGTTTCGATTTTAATCTGAATATTTTTAGATAATTTCTCTAAAACATCTATAAAGCTATAACTGAATTAATTTTTGATCAATACTTCAATTTTTTATATCCATTCTGAAGTACTTTTGATTATAATATTTATTTCTTATAATACAATATCCTTAAAATTATATACCTTCTATTCGAATTACTTGAGTAAATTTATAAAAGGATTTAATTATATTTCACATTATTATATGGAATTCTTTAGCTCATCTTCAACTTTTTATTTTATAAAGCTTAAAGGATGTACTTCAATATGTATTGCCTTTAAACATTCTTCGCAGAAAAATCTTTTATTAGATGGATAATTAGGTTCAATACATACTGACCTTAAAGGTTTATTGTGATTATAACAGCATTAATAATTATCTAGGTTTTCAATTATTTGTGGCAAAAACATTATTATTATTTCTGATTTTAAATTATTAATAAAAAATTGTATTTTTTATACATGTATAAAGTAGATAATTGGTAAATGTTTAGTAAAATTTGAAGACTCATATTATTTATGAAGATTTTTAATTAAATCTTTAATTCATATTTTTTTTTTCTTCCATAATACAGACAGAAACAAAATAAATAAATTTAAATGTATACATGTATTTATTTCTTTATTACACAAAAAAATATCATAATAATATTTCATTCTAAATGGATATTGAAGACATATAAAATGTTTTGTTTTTTCAAACTTCTAATATGATAATTTAATTTATCATATTCTTATTTCTACATATATTATAAATTGTATTTAGTTTTATTATTCTAAGTCATTAATATTTATTCATCCTTCTTAATTTTCACAAACTTCTTGAAAAATGGATTTTCAGATTATTCCTAATCTGTACTAATAAACTATTCCAACTTTTATTGTAAATATCTATTGCTATTTATGATTTACTAAATTTAGTTTGATATATTATTTCAAATAATTTACAAAGTATTAATATAAGTAATTAAATAGACTTTAATATGTTTATCACCACCTAGCTTGTTTTATTAAATTCAATTTTGGCTAAATAACTATTTTTAATAACTCAAGATAATTTTGATTAATAGAGGCTTAATAATTCATTAAAAATATTAAGTTTTCCTGCATCTATCTTTCAGTTTCATTTGACCTCAAAAATATTGTAGCAATTTACAAAGAATCCAATAATTAGTTGATTTATCTTAATATCAAATATAAAAGTTAATTATAAGAGATCTCTGCTTAAGAACTTAATTGCTTTAATAACTCTTATTTATAAATTCTTTAATACATTCTAAATTTTACTACAAAAATACGACTTAGTATAATATTCAAAATTTTAGAAGTGATTTTCTTGAAGTCTAAAGTTCTTTATATTTAAAACTCTCTTAAAGTATCCACACCTTAATATTACTAAATATTTTAATGTAGATTTCTTTATTTCAATCACAATTAATTTCTCATTTTTATTGCATTTAGAGACTTCATTATTAATTTGCTATTATAACTGATCTCATCAGCAAAATAAAATTAATGTATATTGGAGTAATATCAATTACATATTGCTGATTAGATCAGCTACATTCTAGATTAAAAAAACAAGAATGGATTTTGTCATTTTTTTTTCTTATTGGTTTAATTGTAACAAGGTTTGGTTTAATTTCTAATCGACCTTGTATATTATATTTTTATTATTTAAATTCCTAAGAATGTGCGATTAATAGTGTATTTAGATATCGAATTTCATGTTCGTATGTTTCGAATATACATCGGTGAAAAGAAAAATTATCTTTTCACTTTAAAAAGAAAATTTTTTCTTTTCACCAAACTTTTTTATGCA